TACTTAAATATATATTTAAGAGTTGACACTAAATACTTTTACCAAACTTGCAAATTTTATCCAAAGTTGCAAATCCGTTAGCGTAAGGCTGAGTTATTTTCTTTTGGTTCTTAAAAGTGTTAGATGCTAATTTAATTATGCATAATATCTCATCGTCTCCAAAACTTTGCAACATACCCTCCTTCTATGACAAAGTAAAATTCTCTTTTTAAAATTATCAGCCTACTAACATATTTGTGACCATGAATATGACAAATAAAGATATCTTTAAATTACTGGATGCATTTTATAGGAATTCTCCATATAATTGATTGGCCTTTCAGTCAAGGAGACATAAATCCAAGTCCTGATTCTGCTACCTGTCAGTTGCAGAACCTTCAGCAAATTCTTTAATTAGTTTGATCCTTAATTTTTGTTTATAAAATGGAGATGATAAATGTACCCCTCTCATAGAATTAAGTAGATTAAAAAGTTAGCAAAATATTACAGTTCTTAGCATATACTTTATACACAATTTTAATTAATGTTATAATTTTTGCCAGGGTTGATTTGGTAAAAGCTCTGCTGTTTGGTTCCTAATAATATTTATAAACACAAAGAACACAGTGATTTTGTTTAAGAAATCACAGGGCTAGGGATTTAGCTCATAAGGGCCTACCTGGCAAGTGAAGGTCACAAGTTCAATCCCCAGTACCAAAAAAAAAAAAAAAAGAAAGAAATTATATATTCTTTATCTATTCCTTAGTCCCCAAAAGATCAATACTCATATAATTACATTTTTATAAAGAATAACCTTTAGAAAGCAATTTATTCCTTCTAATGACCAAAATGAAAAAGATTTATAATATAAGAAGTTGACAAGAATGTGCAACAACCAGAATTCTAATGACTTGTGGACTGCAAAACAATGCATCAGTTTTGTTCTTGATTTTATCTATTTAATTGGTACATATTTGCTCAACAGAATTATATTAATTTGGAGAAATTAGTACCTATATACCATATTTTCATAATTTTTATATTATTATTCCTCCTCTCTTTCATCTTCATGAAATCTATCTCCCTGTTTTCTATCTTCTTTTTTTTAAGAACTCCTTTAGTTTCATTGTGAGTTTCTCATGTAAGAGAAACCATGCAATAACCTGTCTGACTTACTTCACATAACATTATGTTCTTAAATTCTATCCCTTCTACAAATGACATGAATTTATTCTTCTTTGTAGTCAAACAATACTCACTTGTATAAGTACACCACATTGTCTTTATCCATTCATTTGTTGTTGGGCATCTAAGCTGCTCCCATAGTTTGGCAGTTGTGAATTATGCTGCTATAAACGTAAGTGTGCATATATTTCTATAGTATGATATCTTTAACTCTTTCAGGAAAATAGTCAGGAGAGCTGGATCAAACAGAATCTCTATTTTCAGTTTTTGGAGGAATCTCCACGCTGTTTTCCACAGTGGTTGTACTAGTTTGCATTCCCACCAACAATGTAGAAGGGCTTTCTTTCCCTACATCCTCACAGCATTTATTGTTTCTTGTGTTCTTGATGAGCCATTCTAACCGGTGTAAAACAGAATCTCAGTGTTGTTTTGATTTACATTTCCCTAGTGGCTAAAGATGTTAAAAATATATTCATGTACTTACTGGCCATTTGTCCTTCTTTTGAGAAGTATCTGTTCATTTCATTTGCTCATTTTTTAAATTGTCATTTTGTGGAATCTAATTTTTTTAGTTCTTTATTCTAGGTACTAGACCTCTCTCAAAGAGTAAATGGCAATTTCTTTTCTGTTTTGTCTCTTTCTTCTGTTGTTTTCTTTAGTCCTCATGACAAACAAATAAAAAAACAAATGGCCCAATCCAAAATACAGGTTCTTAATTTAATATAATCTTGCTTGTTTATTCTTGATGTTATTTCTTGTACTGGTGCCCGTGTTTTTAAGTGTTTTCCTATTTTATCTTCCAGCAGTCTCAGTATTTCAGTTTTATATCTAGGTTTTTGATTCATTTTGATTTTATTTTAGTACAGGGTGAGAGACATGGATCTAGTTTGATGCTTTGACATGTAGATAGCCACTTTTCACAGTATCACCATGCATAAACTTTAGAAAAAGAAGATTTTGTAAAGTTATACATCCAGGCCGGGTTGGTGGCACATGCCTGTGATCCCAGCACTTGAGAGATTGAGGCAAGAGGATCTTGAATTTGAGCACAGTGGAGTACACAGTTTGGAGTACACAGTGAGTTGGAGGCTAGCCTTAGCTAAATAGAGAGATTCTATCTTAAAACATTGAAAAAAATTACATATCCGTCTGCCTTAGTAATTCTCAGTGTCGACAGCACTGAGGTTAAGAAATTCTGATCTATCCAACAACTCAGCCCCTACACAACTATGCCATTTATTCAAAAGTAACAAGAACATAGGTTTATAAAAACGTCTCATGCTAGCTAGCCTGCCCCAGTGGGTTTATTGATAATATCTCCAAACTAAAAACAATTAGCAATAAAGGAACAAACTTCATGCACATAAAACAACATGGATTAATATATCTTTAAAATTACACCAAAGGGAAAGGGGCTGGAAACAGAAATAAATATGCTGTAATTATTGAATTTATATGAAATTCCAGAAAAGGCAGAACTAAATTATGGCAATAAACAGTAGTTCAGTGGTTGCTTCTTGAAGGTGGGAGATTGATTGGAAAGCTAGAATATTCAATAATTGTATGCTAAGTGACTGAAAAGAACATTTATGATTCAAGCATTTTACCAGAAGGATGGGATGAAGGAAGGAAGGATAGGAAGAAGAAAAGAAGGGATGGTGAGCACACAGGCAATCAACTGGTCAGTATGTAAGGTCATTTTCTTTCAAACAACTGTCCACTGTTTCACAGTCTCCAACATTTATGCTTTCAGCCTTTCCCATCTTAACCATTCTAGTGGGAGGGTAATATATTTTGTGATTTGTTTGCATTCCTTCCAAGATTAATGAAATTGATCATATTATTTATGTTTATTGGCCCCTTGGACATTATTTTTTTGAAGTGTCTGCCCAGTTTTTGTTGGGATATCTCATTTATTTGTGGGAGTTACACATTCTAAAACACAGAATTGAGAATGCACAGTTAACACAACTTGGAATTAATGCAGTTCTTCTTTGTGTTAAATTGAACAGGCAACAACTACTGGTGAGATTTTGTAGGTGTATGTATATAAAATATACATATTTATACTTATACATATACGCTTAAACATATAATATACATAATATACAAATATACTTATGTATATAAAGTATACATATATATGTAAAATATGTCTCACATTCCCTCTTCACTCTCGATGGTGTGTTGTTTTTTTTTTTAATCGGTACCAGGGATTGAACTCACGACTGCGCGCTTGCAAAGCAGGCGCTTATGCCTATGCGGCTGAGCTAAATTTCCAGCCCCTTCGATGGTGTGCTTTGATGAACACTCTTTAGTCCAATTATTCACTTTTCATTTATAGTTAATGCTGTGTCCAGTTATTAAATTTTAGCCAACTTCAAAATTACAAAGATGTTTTCTTATGATTATTGAGTTTTAAACTATAGAATGGCATCCAAATGAAGTGCATTTTTGTTAACCATGTGAAGAACGCTTAAGGGTTTTTTTTTTCAACATCCAAATGACCTAGCACCATTTTTTTTGGAAAGATAATCTTTTTTCCACTGAAGCATGTCCTGGAACATTTGAACAAATAACTTATACCTAAAATATATTTACATAAGTGGTTCAAACCCTACCCCCAATTCTGTATTGTTATGTGACAGTTGGCAGACAAGCCTGTTAATGGCTTCATATAACTTTGCTTTATGCATCATAAATAACTTATTCTTATTATTCTTATTCTTTTATTCTTGTTATTAAAGTGCTGAAATGAGCCTTCTGTCCAAAGTAAGAGTCATTTATTTACGGGTAAATTGCCAGGCTTGGAAATTTCTGAGCTAACATGTATTCCTATTTTAAATTTTGCCTTTGCAGATTTATACTGTTTTTTACTGTCTTAGGTCCATTTCTTGTTTCTGGGACAAAATACCTGACACCCACAATTTAAATGAAGAGAGGTTATTTTGGCTCAGTTTTAAAAGGTTTCAGTCCAAGGTCAGCCAGCTTCAAGCCAGGATAACATGGCAGCAGGGCATTGCAGAGGTGAAACAACTCATGGCATGGCAGATAGGAAGAAAAAGAGATGGAAGGAAAGGGGAGGGAAGGGAGAGAACAGAATCTCAAGGGTGAAGGGAGTGAGATGTCCTTCCAGGCCAAGGACCAAGTGACCCACGGCCTCCAACCAAGCTTCACCTCTCAAATCACATTTAGCTATAAATTCATGTCCACTGATCAGCATCACATCCCCATGATCTAATTAGCACCCCCCCAAACCCATGAGAACACATGAGACTTGGGAGGAAACATCCAGGTAAAAAACCGTAACATTCCCACTCAGAGATATGAACCGGTTTCCTCACAGTCTGGCCATCAGAGGCCATTTTCAATGTTTTTAATCCAAGCAAAATGAAACATTCCCAATTTTTTTTAAACAATAGGTAAAATAACCTTGTATGTATCTTTATTGGCTATTTGGGTTTTTTTTTTTTTTTTTTTTTGGACTGTCTATTCGAATCATTTTTCTTTTGCGGTTGGTCTTTATATATGATTCAGATAGATATATCTGCCTACTTATAATAACAATGTAAAATATAATCTCGCTATTTCCATAGTTTGGCTTTTAAAAACGTGTTTTGAGCTTCAGTTTCAATCCAGTCTGTGCTAGGAACTAATATCCGCCCAACGGTAGAAAGAAAATTTCGTTCTAGAGCCAGAGGGGCGCAGCCAGCACATTCCGAGCAAGTCAGCTCCACCCCTCCCACCACCCCAACCGCTCTGCTAACTACTCCCGCAGAGCTTCCGTTGCCATAGCACCCCGGCGGCGGGAGGCTGGCGTTTCACAGTTCGAGTACCTGGTGGAAAAACAAACCCAGGAAACCGAAAGCTCCACGTTTCAAGAGTCGCTGGAGAGCGTGACGTCAGCGTACGTGACGCAAACCCATACGGCGCTTGCGCAGTCTGGCTGTTAGGCCTTCGGGCCGCCGTAGACAGGCGTGCCGCTAGGACAAGTCCTGGAGGAAGACTTCTGCTGCAGGTGCCAAGAGGGCGGGTTCGGGCCGTCTTCCTAGGTTTAAGCCGCGATACCCTTCCTCCCTGTGGCTGGGGGTGCCACAGACCCGGAGAAGTGACCTGCTCAGGAAGCAGACCATGGAGGGAAGTGGAGAATGGCTCCCTTGAATGAGAAGAGCCAGAGAAGCGCAGTCTTCCCAGAGCCTGTGGCCCAGGTGGGCGTGAGCAAAGGTGATCCAGGTCCGGTTGTGAGTTTGGATCTGGACTTCCCGAAGGGTGAGGCAAGGACAACTGAGTTGCCTTTTAGGGAGAGGCTGGGTCGTTCAATGGAGGGCTTGGAACTCTTTTTCAACAAAAGTGAAATGAGATCTTGGCCCAAAGTAAGCTCTGGATAACACTTCTTTTTACAGTTCCTCGGAGTTGTCAGAAACACTCAAGTGTGTGAAGAGATACGAAATTTTGAGACCTGGTAGGTTTCGTGTTAAATTCCAAATTCTGCAAATATGCCCTGTAAAGAATTTCTTATTCGAGTCTGCAATGTAAGAATGGTAATACTGAACTACCTAGCAGAATTATGATGCCATAAAGCTCTGTGGAGAGCTTAATGAAAGTGTCCAAGGATTACATACTGGAAAAAATTTCCATGTAGTCTAGAAACCACAAGTTTTTGTTTTGCATCGTTTTTGTCATATGTTGAAGTGACAGAATGAAAATAAAATGTGTAAGAGTCGTTTGTGCAATGTGTGGTACCCAAATATTCAGTAAATACTTACTGAGGCTTTATTTTGTGGATTGAACGCATGACCTCTTGCTTGCTAGGCAGGCACTTACAGTGCTGAGCTAAGTCTCCAGTTTGAGGCCTTTACTTTGTGCTATGTAGGTCCCTTCCAGCTTCTTAGCATGATATATGAGTAAGTAAAACAAAGAACTCTGCCCTATTTAGCTTACATTCTAGTTTGTAGAAGACAATAAACAGTAAACATAAATAAGAAGAAAATGAGTTCTGTGGGGAAAAAAAAAAGAAAGCAAGGTAAGGGGCATTGAGAATGCAGCATACAATTTGAAGTAAATCAGGGCCTGTAGCTATCACAGAGAAAATAACATTTGAGCAAATACTGAAATAATGTGAGAAAATCAGTCCTGCAGATAACTGAGGAAGAGCATCTTAGATAGAAGGACCAGCCAGTGCAAGGTTTTAGGCTTGGAAAGTACCTGGTGTCTTCAGTGGAAGGACTGCATGTCCAGAGTGGAATAAGGAACGGGAGTTGAAATAAAAGTTGCCTGGTAGCATAATTGAAGTATAGTTAGGAAGAACGGTAGAGCGTTTGAATTTCTAGTTGTCCTCACGTAAAGATAATTACCTGTTTAGGTGAGATTTTACAGCTTAACTGCAGCCATTAGTTTGTCAAATTAATGACTGAAATCAGACTTAAAATATATTTGAGACCTACACATGGTTGTAGTTTTTAGTGAGCAGTGTGAATTAATACAGAAGAGCTCGTAATAAACTTTTAAGTCCTTTACTTAGCACTTCAGTGAATGCAGAATCAACTTTTTTTTCCTTCAGATTTGTTTATAGCTTTTTACTTTAAAAAGTGATCTAAGGCAGGAAAAATGTTGAGTACTTGTTATTGTTAATTATATTTACATGTAATTTGTAAATACACTGTGGCAAACAAGTGACTATAAAGAAACCCATTACATCTAGAAGCTTACAACATTGTAGTGTTGTCAGGAAGCTTATAAAGTTGTAGAGTCAATGAACTTGTAAGTCAAACATAAAAAGGATGAAAACAGTATACCAAAAGAACAGTACAAAGTAAAAACTAGTAGAATGAAGTCTTCTGGGTATTATTGTACTTTTTATGACAGTAGCTCACCTTTACTTCCTATTTTAATTTTTGAACATCTGCTTTTTATGAAATGGTGATTTAGTTGTCAGTTTTTTCACATTTAACAAATTTAGGTATTTACAAAACTAGTTCTAGAATGCATTGAATATGCTAAATTAAGTAGAGAATTCATGAGTGAAAGTACCTATTAAATTGCACTAACAGGTACCTTATAATATTCATTTCTTTATTGGAATTTATAATTTTTCCAGTATTACGTAGTGCTTGTTTTTGGTTTCTTGGACAGTGTTAAAACACAAAATATACAGTAGCTGTTTGTAATGATTTTGGTAAGGCTTTTGTTTTTTTCATTTTAAAATTCTGCTTTCAAAGTGTTTGAAGTTTTAGTGGCAAGCAGAAATAAAGAGCTATTATATTGCAAGCATGGAACTGTATGGCCAATTGTATTTGAGACGAGAATCTGTAAGTTAGAGACATGCCTCGGAAAACTATGGTCAGGTTCAGCAATAAGCAGGAAAAGGTTTATCACTGAAGTGCAACAAAGTTTACAAGTATTGTGATAAATGTATAAGCCACTTTTCCATTATTGTGGCAAAATACCTGAGATAAACAGCTTATAGCAGGGAAGGTTTATTTTGGCTCACAGTTTCAGAGGTTTTGGTCCTTTGTAACTTGACTGCTTATCAAGTGTTATGGAGCAGGCCAGCTGTTCACCCAGTGGTAATCAAGATGCGGGAGAGCTAGAAAGAGAAGGGGCTAAGTCCCAATATCCTCTTCAGGGGCATGCCTAATTTTCTTCTACAAAGTCATCTTTAAAGCTTTTTTCATTTCCCAATAGCAGCACAGGCTAGGGATCAAACCTTTAACACATGGACCTCTGGGGGAACATTACAGATCCAGACTGTACCAATTGAATGTGATTGGGTGACTATATAGATGATTGATACCACCTAAAATGCATGATTCAATGAAATTTGTACAGAAGTTGTATTTAGCATTTCTAATAGGTGAGTAAGTGCTTGATAGCAGAGGGGTTTGAGTAGAGTTAAGTACGAGGTTCAGGTATACGATGCTCCCTCTGAAAAGAGGTGAGGTTTGAAGGGAAGTTTTAAAAAATGCTAAAAGTTACTTGTTAGAACTAGTCGTGCGGGGATGAATTTCTAAACATTAGTGTTTGTAGCCATGTAGGTAGTGTCACAGCTGTAGGTAGAGAACTTTGGGGAGGTGCTAGACATGTTTTTATGATAAAAGCTCCTATTCACTGGTGAACATTCTTTGGTGAATGTTCTTTATATGCCAAGATGTTTTATCCTTTTTTTTTTTTTTTTTTTTAACGTGGCAGGGTTTTCCTTTTCCTTTCTTCCAAAACTGGAACTCGGGTTTATTGGACATTGAAGCCATTAGTCTTTTTTATTTTGTATTGCCTTGTTTTTATAACAGACTGTGCTGACATTAGTAGCCTTCCTATTTTATGGGGTTTATTATGAGTGTTACTGGATCGCTGATCATATTCCATTCACTAATAAATTTTATTAACTTTATGCTTTTCTCTCCTAGATTTTAATTTGATTTGAAAATGAGCAAGTGCAAAAAGCCACCAGTTCAGCAGTTAGCAAGTCTTGAGACATTCAGCCCAGATGTTCTTGATGATGTTTTTGAACTGTTTGCCAAGAACTTTTCTTATGGCAAGCCACTTCATAATGAGTGGCAGTTACCACATCCCAGTGAGATTTTCATCTGTGACCACACAGAATTTAATGCATTTCTTGACTTGAAGAACTCACTAAATGAAGTAAAAAACCTCCTGAGTGATAAGAAGCTGGACGAGTGGCACGAGCACACTGCTTTTACTAATAAAGCAGGAAAAATAATTTCTCACGTGAAGAAATCTGTGAATGCTGAACTTTGTACTCAAGCGTGGTGTAAATTCCATGAGATTTTGTGTAGCTTTCCACTTATTCCACAGGAGGCTTTTCAGAATGGGAAGTTGAATTCTCTTCACCTTTGTGAAGCTCCTGGAGCTTTTATAGCTAGTCTCAACCACTACTTAAAATCCCATCAGTTCCCTTGTGATTGGAGTTGGATAGCTAATACTCTGAATCCATACAATGAAGCAAATGACAATCTTTCAATGATTATGGATGACCGGCTCATTGCAAATACCTTGCATTGGTGGTACTTTGGCCCAGATAACACTGGTGATATCATGACTGTGGAGTGTCTGACTGGACTTAAGAACTTCCTGAGTAGCGCGGCTGCCATTCACTTGATCACTGCAGATGGGAGTTTTGATTGCCAAGGAAACCCAGGGGAACAAGAAGCTTTAGTCTCTTCTTTGCATTACTGTGAAGTTGTCACTGCTCTGACTACTCTTGGAAGTGGTGGCTCTTTTGTTCTAAAGATGTTTACTTTGTTTGAGCATTGTTCCATAAACCTGATGTACTTGTTAAACTGTTCTTTTGACCAAGTCCATGTCTTCAAACCTGCAACTAGCAAGGCAGGAAACTCTGAAGTCTATGTGGTATGTCTCCAGTATAAGGGAAAAGAGGCCATCCATCCTGTGTTGTCTAAGATGGTGCTGAATTTTGGGAATGAAATGACCAGGAAAGCTCTCTTTCCCCATTATGTGATTCCCGAATCTTTTCTTAAAAGACATGAAGAATGTTGTGCTTTTTTTCATAAGTATCAATTAGAGACTATTTCTGAGAACATCCGTCTGTTTGAATGCATGGGAAAAGAGGAACGAACGAAGTTGAACAATTTAAGGGATTGTGCAGTACAATATTTTATGCAAAAATTTCAACTTAAGCCTCTTTCCAGAAATAACTGGTTAGTAAAAAAATATAACATTGGTTGTAGTACTAATACAAAGTGGTTTGGGCAGAGAAACAGATATTTTAAAACCTATAATGAAAGGAAGATTCTGGAAAACCTATCATGGAAAGAGAAAGTAGCCAAAGGGTACTTTAATAGTTGGGCTGAAGAACATGCTGTGTATCATCCTGGACAAAATTCTTTTTTAGAAGGGCCAGCTTGCAATCTTGATTGTGACTTATGGCAT